GTACGTTTAAGTCTGCTGCAGCAGAACTCATAAACACCCTTTTTTTTCCCCCAGGTGCTGTGTCCTGGGTAGTTAGAGCTTTATTTATGAGTTTCTGTTGTGCTACTACCTTTTTCAGGGCTTCCCTGCCCAGCAAGGAGGCAGCCTAGTCACTGCCTGCAGAGGCTTTGCTGAGCTGCTGTGGGCTCTGCCCATCTACCATGTGAACTTCCCTGCAGTCCTGTTTATATGGATATAGTTAGAACTGCCTTGGCAATGGCGGCCCACCTCTATAATGGCGGAGTCTCTTTGTAATGGCAGACTGCCTCAGCAATGGCGGACTACCTCCGTAGTGGTGGAGTGCCTTGGTAGTGGCGGACGCCCCTCCCCCACAGAGCTGGACTGTCCCAGGTCCAGCTGTGATTGCTGTGAAACTCTCAATCCAGAGAATTTCAGATTGCTTTTTTGTGGGGGTGGGACCAGCCAAGCCTGATCACCTGCTCCCTGCCTCAGAGCCCCCTTTTTTTTTTATTATTTTTATTTTTTTAAGTTGAACAGGCGACTCTGTCTCCCAGGTGTTTCAGTTGCCTGTTGAAAAGGCACCAGGATCTGTGTGGTTTCCCGTGTGGCGACCCACTGCACCGGCTGAAACAGCCACGGAGATTCATGGCACTTTTTTGCCCAGGAATCTCCTGGCCTGGCTCCCTGTTTCAGTCCCCTTTTTTATCAGTTGAATGGACGACACTGTCTCCCAGAAGCTCCAATCGCCAGCTAAATTGGCACCCGGACTCGTGTATTTTGTGCAGAGAACCAACGCGCTGGCCAAAACAGCCGCGCCGGCCAAAAGGGGCTCCTCTGTCTGGGAATCTCCTGGTCTGTGGGCAATAAAAATCTGTCTGGAAATGCAGCGTCCGCTCATCCTCCGCGCTTTCACTGGGAGCTGCAATCCTGAGCTGCTCCGAATCGGCCATCTTGGATCCATCCCCCAGAAAATCTTTTACTGTTGAATTTTATAAAACCATGTCCATGACCAGGTGTGGTGGCTCACACCTGTAATCCCAACACTTTGGGGGGCAGGGACGGGAGGATTGCTTGGGGCCAGGAGTTCGAGATCTTTGTGGGCAAGAACATAGTGAGACTGTGTCTCTACCCAAAAAGTTATGAAAATATTTTTAAAACCACGTAGTTTCTTAATTTTATTTGGTAACACATTCAGATGAGAGAAAATCACCATTTATCTTTCTTCAGGATTTCTCACAAATCTAGTCATGCTGTAGCCCTCTTCTCAGATCTCACCTCTTTCTAGCTGTTCCCATGTTTCTGAGTCCTGATTGTCAAGGTAGCTTCACTCCCAATTAAAGTATCTCTTTTTTCAGAGAAATTTTCAGCCCTCACCTAACCAGTGTGCTCCTAGAAGAACTCCTCGGTCTTTATAGCGTTAATCACAGTGTGTTTTCATTGTTCATTTGTCTTTATCTCTCTGCTAGATTGCAGTACCGTTTATATTTAGCACGTAGAAAGAGCTCTGTAAATGTTCAGTGAATGCATTGGATGATAAATAACTCCAGTGAAACTTATTTAACCTCCTTATATATGCTATCAAAAATTTTGGTTAGTAATCCCAAATTTATTAGATAAGCTACAGATCTTCCATTTCTAAAACCAGCCAATCTCATTTTAAGAAAATTTTTCATTTTAACAATTTGCTATTAATTGCATAGTCTCAATATAATTTGCAAGGATTTTCCAGTTTCATAAGCAAATTTCCTAAAGATTTCTGTAGATACCACTATAGTTGTGACTTGTGTCTTATGGATAGTTTACTGAAAGCAGCACTGTTCTCTTTTACTTTTGTAAGTTTCTTTTCTGTGATTTTCTTTTTTTTCCCCCAAGTTGGTGGGGGGGGGATTCTCCATTATTCCTTTTCACTTCATTTTTAAAGCCATTACTAACTGAATAGCAAAAGCTAACTATGCCTTTGAAATAGCAGATGCAAGGCATAAAGGAGGCTGGGCATGGTGGCTCATGCCTGTAATCCCAGCACTTTGGGAAGGGGAGGTGGGTGAATCACCTGAGGTTAGGAGTTTGAGACCAGCGTGGCCAACATGGCAAAACCCCGTCTCTGCTAAAAATATAAAATCAGCCGGGTGTGGTGGCATGCATCTATAATCCCAGCTACTCTGGAGGCTGAGGCAGGAGAATCACTTAGAACCCAGGAGGTGGAGATTGTAGTGAGCCAAGATCATGCCAGCCTAGGCTACAGAGTAAGACTGTGTTTTAAAAAAAAAAAAAAAAAAAGAAAAAACACAAAGAGCATTAAAGGGAGGCAGAATCTATTAATAGAGTGAACATGAAGGTAACAACAGTCCACTGCCAAATGTTCTCAATTGAAGAGCCTCTGAAATGTAAGTGAAATAGTCTTTTTGGGGGGGACAGATCAACAGTCATTGGATCTCTCTACTTACTAAACGTTTCTATTTTTTAGGTATCGAATGATAACAGAAGGCGGAGTCAGCATAAATCACCAACAAGTAACAAATCCTGAGAGCGTTTTAATTGTTGGACAACACATTCTCAAGAATGGACTTTCCTTACTTAAAATAGGAAAAAGAAATTTCTACATTATAAAATGGCTTCAGTTATGATGAAAAATCCCTTCTGGTTATTCAAGTACTTACCCATCATTTATTCTCAAGACCTCTGAAGGGTTGGCCCCAAAACTTAGATCTTTGCTTATGCAAATCAGAAAAACAGAATGGAGTATACACTAGGACTCAGTGTGAGTAACTTCATTTGATTTTTATGGGCTGGTTAATAAATAAGGTATTTGTTTAGTGATGGGATGTTTTATTTTCTGATGTACAAATCTTGATTACCATAGAAAACCATGATTTTCAGGGTTAATCTCCTTTTAAAATTATACTTGAGAAGAGATAGAAATGCCAGCTTTCCTATCCTACCCTTCCCATTCTCCTTTTTGTGGTGATGAAGAACAATGAAAAGAGATAGTGTAAGGAATTGTGAGGCTGCGCTCAGTGGCTCACACCTGAAACCCCAGTACTGCAGGGGGCCAAGATGGGCAAATCACTTGAGGCTAGGAGTTTGAGACTGGCTTGACCAACAGGGCAAAACCCTGTCTCTACTGAAAATATAAAAATTAGCTAGGCCTGGTGGCAAGTGCCTGTAACCCCCAGCTACTAGAGAGGCTGACGCATGAGAATCACTCAAACCTGGGACATGGAGATTGCAGTGAGTCGAGACTGCGCCACTGCACTCCAGCCTAGGAGACGGAGTGAGTAGTGAGACTGTCTCAAAAAAAAAAATTGTGTGTTTTTGTATCAGGTGTGGCACACCGATCTCACTAATGTTATATAGTTGTTTATAAAATCAATAGTGCCTCTGGTGTCCACATTAGAAATGGGAAAACTAGTATTAGAAACTGATTAGAAATTTGATATATATATATATATATATATATATATACATATATATATATATATATTTTTTTTTTTGTAGTTGAGGGAGCAAATGTAGTTCATTTTGAAAAGGAGAAAAGTTAGATGAGGACATGGTTGCTTTGAGAAATTACAGTAAGAAGTTTTTTTTTTTTTTTTTTACAAGGAATAGTATAACAATTAGTACGTGACTTTTCAGGAAGTTTCTAACTCAGTTTTTTAGTTCCTTGCCTGTGTTCCATCATTTCATTCTCATTAAGCCATGTTTTGTCAGTGGATTCCTAAGGTAGCAATGTTTTACAAATTTAGGAACTTAAATTAGTTTTAAATTTCCACTTCTGCCCCACACAGATTGCAACTAGAGGTAAATTTAAAAATAATCCCCCCCAGAATAAAATACGCACTCATGTGAGACTATCAAAAAGTATCCAGGTAAGGAAAGTTTTCAGGTCAAACCTAAAGGATTTGGAATCAAGACTGAGTTCAGCTCTGCAAACATGAGGCAAATTAATTCTCCAGAACTATTTCCATATCTGAAAAAAAGCAGTGGCCTCCCTGTTTCCCTGAGGATCAAGTGAATCACATATGAAATGATTAATCAGATTTCTTTTGAAAATCTTACAGGCTGCAGAGCATGGCTTTAGTGTTCAAATTCTAGCCATTTACTACCTGGATTACTTGGAGCAAGTCACTGTCTTCATACGCAAAAATGGCGATGTAATAATACCTTGGTGAACTGTCAGAATCTGGTAGGAAAAAAGTCATAAAACGTTTAGTACTCTATACGGTTGTTTTAAAGTAGATTTAGGTATTAAAAAGCTCCTTTTCTCCCTTTCTCTGGGAGAAAACTTAAGAATTTTTTTGACAAACTTTAATGTCATTTCATACCAGCAATTTTATTTACACAGCAAGAACATACAGGTATCTGTTATAAATGTCAGAGATCATCTCTACATTTCAGAACTTGACTCAGTTTAAGGGCCAACAAAAGAACGTTTTTTCGCTTTCCATTAAGTTTCTTGCCTCTGTTTTTCGTTGTACAAAATGTGTAGTACTAGCAAGTGCATTACCATAGCATGTCTTTAATTTTCAGTTTGAAATCTGATGTGCTAGAGAAAAGTGCATCATAAGTTTTTTGGGTTTTTTTCCCTTATGAATTCAAAGTACTAATTATCTGGAAAAAGTAAATCATGTATGGTTATAATTTTGAAACTGATGCCTAATGACAGCAGAGTGATTTTTAAGTGTGGTAACAAAAGTTTTGGGAGCATGTATCCGCTGTCAAGATGGTACTAGTAACAGATTCAAGATAGTGCCATATCATATCAGACTGATACAGGGTTTTTAATGTTTGAGATCAGAGCCTGTTGTTCCTTAGTATATTGGTGCAGTAAGCAAAGTTAACATTCATATTTTCCCTGCCAATAGTCCTTCACGAATATCTGGTCATAAACTGAAAAAAAAAATTTAATGTTTATAATATAAATGTGTTGTCTGTTAGTGATGGGGCTAGATGTGAGGTATATCTATCTTAAAATTTATAATGTAGTTTATACCAAGAATCACCTGGGGAATTACATGTTCTAAACCTCATCACTACCCCATAAATGCAGTTTAAGTCTGTAAGTCTTAAGGAGTTTGTCTATCTGGGTGTTTTTCTTTCAATAACAAAACTCCTCAAGTAGTTTCATAACTATTCTAATATATTTTGTTGGAATATATTTTGTTTGTATGCTGTAAAACAAAAGTAGCTATTACCAGCATACACACACAGTATATTGGTTTTAAGTCCCACCTCAAAGTGAATCTTAGAGGCTGGTGTAAGAGCTCCATTTTAAAGATGTACCTTTGTTACTACTACTCTATTTGCAAGTTAAGGGAGATTTAGGTCATCACTGAATTGTCTAAAACTAAAAGGAACTGGCCATCATTACCAACTCTTACTAGATCATCAAGGGTAGATGGCTGTTGTTTTTAATGTAGGAATTAATGTAGGCATTTATGCTTACCGGTTTAAGTATGAATCAAAGCATATTTTAATTTTTAATATGCTAGGGCAAATGGACCCAGAATTGGAAGGGCTATGTAACTACACAGTATGCACACCACATCCATGTCGGTGTCACAGATCCTTTTGTGCATTCAGCATTCTTAAAAACACATCAAAGTCTGCAGAGAAGCTCAGAAAAACTAAATTGAAGGACAGGTGGAATACAATGACTCTATGTGAGGAACTTGCCAACTCACATCTTTCAAAGCCAGCTCAGTTTATATAGTACATGCATTATAGTCATATGAAATGTTGTCTTGGTGCTTTCTTCTTGGAGGACTATGGCAGCAGCTTTAAGATTACTAACAAAGATTACACAGGTCATCTTATCCACAGGCAAACTGCTTTGTACAACTAGAACATTAACAGTTCTTTTTAAGTTCCAATGAAACTGTCACAAGACAGAGTTGATGTATTTTATATATACTGGGAAACTTTAGAAACAGCCATTTATTATTTGGATTAAATGTGCGATTTGTTCTGCAATATGGAATACACTTTTCAGTTTACAGCCAGTCTTCACATGAGCAGATTCATACCATTGCAGTGCACAGGAGTTCATAAATAAAATTCTACTCAGGCAGTAACTAGCAAGTTTTTGAGTCAACAAAGGCTGAGTATTATACAGTTCTCTTCACCAAAGATGAGTCTCTCGGATTTCAGCAATAATTTGACTAGCTCCTTGTAATGCCTGCATTAAAGGAAATAAAAATTTTAAATGCTTATTATAAAGTTATGAACTTAATCAGAATTATGCAGGGTAATTTTTCCAATGTATATGTGGTAGGTTTATATAACCAGTTTGTATTAACCAATATGTTCTCTGGAATTAGAATCTAATCAAGTACCAACAAGAAACAAACCAAGCTAGAATATAAAGACTATGTATATATGTACATATGTGTATATATACACATATTTTATATGTGTATATACGCGCGCAGTGTATATACGCGCGCAGTGTATATACGCGCGCAGTATATATACGCGCGCAATGTAGATACGTATATACACGCAATATATACGCGCGCAGTATATATACGCGTGCAGTATATACTGCGCGCAGTGTATATACGCGCGCAGTATATACACGCAGTATATATATACGTATATACACGCATATATATATACGTATATACACGCAGTATATATATACGTATATACACGCAGTATATATATACAGTATATGTGTGTATATATACACAGTGTATATATATATATACAGTATATGTATATATATACACACAGTATATATATACATATATATACATATATACGCATATACACATATACAGTATATGTATATATACACAGTATATGTATATACATATATACAGCATATGTGTATATATACATATACAGTATATGTATATACGTATATACACATACATATGTATATATGTATATATATACATGTGTGTATATATATATAAATATCCAAAAATCAAAACTGCATTTAAAACTATTTCTGTCTACTGCCCAAGTATAAAAATTCAAAAGTTTCACAGTACCTTTAGCATATCAGCCGCTTCTTTCCTGCGCTGTGCCATGTCCTCAGATTCAGTCAGAAGATCATCCAATAAGGATGATTTATACAGCTGGCCTACTAGCTCACTCTGAAGAGTGTCTTTCACATGATTAACCAAAAAATGCATTACTGCCTTTGGCACACTGCAAAACAAAGCCGAATTATGGAATTTTAGCCAAAATTCTACTTTTAATAATTTGGGCTTAGGAAATAAGAACACTGTACTACTTTGGATATTTCACTAATGGCATAATTGCCCTTTAGATTTTTGCTTAATTATAAGCAACAGTTCACTGGCTAATGCCTGTAATCCCAGCACTTTCGGAGGCTAAGGGAGGTGGACTGCTTGAGGCCAGGAATTTAGTTTGAGACCACCCTGGCCAACATGGTGAAACCCCATCTGCACTAAAAATACAAAAATTAGCTGGGCATGGTGGCACATGCCTGTGATCCCAGCTACTCAGGAGACTGAGAAACGAGAATCACTTGAACCCAGGAGGCAGAGATTGCAGTGAGCCAAGAACTGCACTCAACCCTGGGTGACAGTCTTACTCTGTCTCAAAAGGAAAAGCAACAGTCCTCAATATTTTACCTTCTTTTCATCATCCTTATTTCAAAACTCTTTGATAAGCTTTATTCAGGTTGGGCATGGTGGCTCACGCCTGTAATCCCAGCACTTTGGGAGGCCCAGGTGGGTGGATCATCAGGTTAGGAGTTCAAGACCAGCCTAGCCAACATGGTAAAACTTTGTCTCTACTGAAAATACAAAAAAAACAAAAAATAGTCGGGCGTGTTGGTGGGTGCCTGTAATCCCAGCTACTTGGGAGGCTGAGATAGAGAATTGCTTGAACCTGGGAGGTGGAACTTGCAGTGAGCTGAGATGGCACCACTGCACTCCAGCCTGGGCAACAGAGCAAGACTCCATCTCAAAAAAAAGAAAAAGCATTATTCATAATAGCCAACAAGTGAGAAAAACCTAAACATCTATCGGCTGATGAATGGATAAACACAGTATGACATATCCCTATATCTAATATTATTCAGACATAAAAAGATACATCACTTAATAACATGGATATGTTCTGAGAAATGCATTATTAGATGATTTCATTATGTGAACATCAAAGAGTGTGCTTACACAATTACAGATGGTACAGCCTACAACACACCTAAGGTAGATAGGATAGCCTATTGCTCCTAGGCTACAAACATGTACAGTATGTTACTGTATTGAATACTGTAGGGAACTGTAACATAATGGTAAGTATGTATCTAAACATAGAAAATTACAGAAAAAATATGGTAGCATAATCTAAAGGGAACACATTCAAATATGTGGTCTGTTGACTAAAACATTATGTGGCACATGACTATACTGATTCAATGCTACGATATGGATGTGGCTTAAAAACATTCAGTGAGCCAAGTGCGGTGGCTCACAGCTGTAATCCCAGCACTTTGGGAGGCAGGCAGATCACAAGGTCAGGAGTTCGAGACCAACCTGACCAATATGGTGAAACCCTCTCTCTACTAAAAATACAAAAATTAGCTGGGCGTGGTGGTGGGAGGCAAAGGCAGGAGAATTGCTGGAACCCAGGAGGCAGAGGTTGCAGTGAGCCAAGATCACTCCAGCCTGGGCGACAAAGCGAGACTCCATTTCCAAAACACACACATATTAAGTGAAAGAAAAGCTAGGTACAAAGACTATATGAATATTAGTCTTATACGAGTATTAGACATATTAGTATATGAAATGTCCCAAAGAGGCAAATCCAGAGAGACCATAGGTTATTGGTTGCCAGATATAGGAGGGAGCAAAATGGGAAGCCCCTGCAGTTGAGTACAGGGCTTCTTTAAGAACTAATGCAAATATTACAAATACCACGTAGTGGTTAAGACCACATAGTGGTGAGCATTGCACAGCTTTGTGATATATAATAAAAATCACTGCAAACTACACTTAAAAGGGTGGACTTTGTAGTGTATGAATTATATCTTTAAAAAACAAAAACAAGGCCAGGTATAGTGGCTCACGCCTGTGATCCCAGCACTTTGGGAGGCCGAGGCAGATGGATCACCTGAGGTCAGGAGTTCGAGACCATTCTGGGCAACATGGTGAAACTCCATCTCTACTAAAAATAGAAAAAATTAGCTGGGGGTGGTGTTGCACGCCTGTAATCCCAGCTACTCAGGGGCTGATGGAAAAGAATTGCTTGAACCTGTGAGGCGGAGGTTGCCATGAAGTGAGATCGTGCCACTGCACTCCAGCCCAGTGACAGAGCGAGACTCTGTCTCAAAAAAAAAAAAAAAAAAAGGCAAGTCAGTGTTACTAGCCAAAATAATGAAACTATTAAATTAAAATTTGGAAAAAAAAAAAAAATTTCTTAAATGACTCAAAATGTGGCAGCCAGACAGAACAAAAGAATCTCTCGTTTTTAATAGCTTTTTCTAGCTGATACATGAGGTCCTAGTCATTCTATGTTAACAAACTCAAGTCTTACTACAAGTTACCCAAGGACTATCAGAGAATCCACTTGATTTAGAATAAAAACTAACCTAAAATTTTTTAAAATACATGTATTTTTCAAAACAAATCACAGAATCATCCAGCAGTATTAAAGCCTGTGATTTATATTAATACTAACCTGTCTTGAATATTCTTTCTGACAATGAGAAAATATGATTTGATGAGTCGTTCAATAACCTCACAGTCTCGCTGTTCCCGAGCAGATAGTTTTCGTGCAACAGGAACTGGCTAAGTGGGGATGAAGGGGAAGAATATTACTTTAATGACACTTTGAAATGCCAGCATTTAACATCTGAAAGTTACTAAGTTTTGAGACTTTTAGTTCTTTTTGTCTAATTGTTTTCCTACTAACATGGTTATCCTATTAGACCTAAACCAAATTGTCACGGCTTACCACATCCAGCAGATTCACAGCATGACCTTTCTGTGGACTGGCTGGCATAATTGGAATGGGTTTTGATTTTTCTTCTGCTAATAACTCTTCAGCTTTTGAAGTTTTCAGCATTCCTCTCCAGTTGCCTGTTGTTGGTTCTTGAACACCATCTCCAACCCCACCACCTCCAGACGCAACCTGAAAAAACATGTTCCAAAACCTATACCAACTTTAATCTATGCAGACAGATAATGAGGTGAGAAGGAGATGGTAGGTGGCATGTATAACTGGAACCCTGAGCTGTCTAAAGTAAGAGTTTCTATTGTAAGTTGTTTGCAAGGCATCAGCCAATTTATGTTCTATTTAATTCCCTTTTTCTTTTATCATTCGCTAACTTTTCAAAACTGTTCCTCTTCTCCCACCCTTCAAACACTAAATTGTAAAAAGAAGTATAAGCTGCCCTTAAAAACAAAACTACTCATTAAAAGCACAAAGAACTGCCATTCAGTTTAATTTCTTAAGTAATCATAAACACTGTTAAACTCTCTCCCTAAAATTCTATAAATTTATTATGTCTCTGAACTTAAGACTTTATATATTTCTCAAGTCAATTTACATTCCTAGTAGTCAACAAAAATGCCATAAGGTATAAGAACTCTTTAACAAATAGCAAGACATTTGTTATTCCTAGGCTGACAGTCACTATAAGTTGTTTCAAAGGTGGAATCTGACATAAACACAACGGAAGTCCCTTCAACATCTGCACTCTTAAGGATTTGCTGCAAGAAATCTAGTGCTACCATTAATCACAAGTGCTTTTGCACCTTGTTTTCCGTAAAATTAGTCTTGACTTCTAAAAAACAAAAATGACTGCTTATAATGGAAAAACATAATTCATCAACATTTGAGAGGGTTTTTTTAGGTATTCTTTAAGATCTTACAATCTAAAAGTGGATTACATAAATTTAATAGAGCATTATGGCATTATTTCCTTCACCACTGTTAGAAAAATGGTAGTTTGGGGTATCATTCTGAATCAAAATATTTGCTAAAATCTGTATTTAGTATGTCAGTTAAGGTGAACTATATTTAAATATAAGTAGTATATTACACATTCACTTAAAAATGAGTAATTAGAATTTTAAATGTTAACTATACATGAATGGTATACCAAATGAAATTTTAAAGAGAGTGAGCACATTCAGTGTGATGTCATGAATGAAATAAAACTTGTGCAGTGATTTAGATGGTTCTCTTAATATTCGTGAGCACAGTGGGCTGAGAGAAGATAAGACATTTAAATATGGACATTTAAGAAAGGAAAGGAGCTAAATGGCAGAAAATCTTGAAATAGGCATGACTGAATAATTTATACATTATTTAATTTTCATCTAAAATGATTGTCAAGAATTGAAAACAGTCTCAAACTCTCACAGTCCCCACTTGTTTTTGATTTGCTTAAGCTTCTGAAGCATATGTGAAGCGATATATATCATAACAAGTGCAAACTAATTGGAAATATAAGAAAGAAGCAATAGATTAGAGGATTATCTATTAGTACTGAACAGATCTCAAGATCTTTAAAGAGGAAATGTCCAAAAATACAATTCCATCTCTGCAATCTATTTCCTACCAAAATACTAAATTTAAACCTGTTATTGAAGGTAACAGAAAACAGAGAGAAAGCCTATTATTGTAACTAATTAACACAACATCAAAACTAATGCCATCTTCCACAGGTTGGATAAAAGGAACATTAAGAACATAGCACAGACAAGAGAGAGAGCACTACACAAACAGGTTTTTTAATGGTGTTATAGACAGTGTTTCAGTGAGAACCAAAGGTACCAACATTTCCATTCTGAAGCAAGAGACTCACATTTTTAGTTTCTCTTCTGCTGTCCTGAATTGACTGTTAAAAGATATGTTAAAACATGCAATTTAACAAGCAAAATTTAAATACCAATGGGTTGAAATTCAAAAAGTGCAGGATAATTTCCTCGTTAAATTACTTCTTTTTCTGTGTGCATCTTCTATATTGCAAGCAAAAGGATGTCAACAATATAAAGTAGGCATTGCATTGTTACACAATTTTAAAATATATATTAGACTGAAGTGATCTGACCTTAGCACAGTATCCCATATTAATATTCTTCTATTCACTGTATTGTTTCCAGAAGATTATGTTGCACCAAAGAACTAGGCATGCAGGCTTAGATTAAGAATCAGAACAGACCTTGCCATCAGCCTCAGCAGAAGCAGCAGGGGAGGGCTCCTGGGAGGCAGGTGCCAAAGCACTTGGAACTTTAGAAGACTAAAGGCAAAAAATGCAGGGGGTAAAAAAATCAAGGATGCAAAAATGCATTCAGAAACATTCTATAAATGTGAATTTTTCCGTTCTGTAACAAAATCGTAAAATAACATGAAAAATGAAAATAATCATGGGAGATAAAATTGTTTATTCTGCCTTATTTCCTTCATTGTTAAAAGTTTCTTTCAGATGAATACATAAGAAAAATCCAAATAAAAAGCGTCATTTTTACTTTTCGTATTTGATAAGATTATTTGCTGGCAAAGAATTCAAGGTAACAAATTTTTATACACACATTAGTATTACAACTATTGTAAGTATTACTAGTAATTAAAACCTCTGTTTTGTGTGCATTTTTTCCAAGAAAACGTGTTATCATAAGTCATTTCAACTATTTATAAAGTTGATAAAATCACTAGCTGAATTTTTTTTTAAAGCTTCATGCTTAACTAAATGCTTAAACCTACTAATTTTTTTAATTAATTTTTTTTTTTGAGACAGAGTTTTGCTCCCGTTGCCCAGGCTGTTGTGCAATGGTGTGATCTCAGCTCACCGCAACCTCTGCCTCCTGAATGTAAGCAATTCTCCTGCCTCAGCCTCCCGAGTAGCTGGGATTACAGGAATGTACCACTACACCCAGCTAATTTTGTAGTTTTAGTAGAGACAGGGTTTCACCATGTTGGTCAGCCTGGTCTCCAACTGCCAACCTCAGGTGATCCGCCCACCTGGGCCTCCCAAAGTGCTAGGATTATAGGCATGAGCCACCAAGCCCAGCCACTTAAACTTGTAAGCATTTGTGTCACTGAATTCAAAATGCTATTATCTTTAAATCACTCAAAGCCCATTTTAAACTTGTATGCCTTTAGCTCCAATGGAGTGTTAAAGGGAGGAAAAGAAGAAAGAATTACTCCTAGAACTGATTAATATTCTGAGCTCATCAATCCATCTTTAGGTATTGGGAATGTGCATTAAAAAAAAAATTTTTTTTTTTTTTTTTACCTTGTCTCGTGATACAGCTGAAGGTAATTCTCTGGCTAGCCTGTTTCTCCTCTGTTCCTAAGAAACACAAATCAAGCAAAACAAAACTGATTATTTGAGTACTGAGATATATGCCTACTAAAAAATGTTCGTGTTAATTGAAAAGTGTGGAGTAACTTACAGATACATCCTCTCACTGTTGGGACTCATGCCATAATTATATTTTAAAATAAATAAGAAATCATTTAACCCAATGCTTCTCAATCTTTTTTTTTCTGCCCACACACCTGAAGGATACAATATAGTGTCAGTAACAGTGGCTCTCTGTACTGGGGATTCTCAAATGAGGGGCAACAGACTGACATCTTTTCCCCCTTTCCCACTAAGAAAGAGTGATATAAACTGTCCTCACATAAATCTGGAACATAAGCCTTCAACATACCATGTGGAATTTGAAGTGCAGAGAGTCATAGAAAACTCCATAAAGCCTTTTAAAGTCACTCTTACCTGAACACCTTTGTGTTAAATTCAAACAACTCCCCTACATAAAACATACATTGAAGAAGTATCTGTGGTTGAGGTTATCCTTATAAAATGTTCCTAAACTACCTCCAGAAAATAAAGTGTTGACAACTGATAGTCCTTTCTATAACATGGCTAATTTAACAGACTCGTCAATTGCCCACAATTCTAATTTGCTAATATTATCAAAGTAACTTGTACAAAGCTAAAAAAAAAACTGTTAAATTCAAATTAGATTGTCCCAAGCATCTGCTACATCCAAGCATCAAGATAGGCACAAGATCATGAAGATACTGGGTAGGCACGGTGGCTCACACCTGTAATCCTAGCACTTTGGGAGGCCAAGGTGGACAGATCACTTGAGCTCAGGAGTTCGAGACCAGCCTAGCCCCAAAATGGTGAAACCCTGTCTCTACTAAAAATACAAAAATAAGCTGGGTGTGGTGGTGCACACCTATAATCCCAGCTACTCAAGAGGCTGAGGCAGGAGAATCGCTTAATCCAGGAGGCAGTTTACGGTGAGCCGAGATCACGCCACTGCACTCCAGCCTGGGCAACAGAGTAAGACTCTGTCTGAAGAAAAAAGAATATGAAGATATAGAAAGCTGATAATGAAAGGTGTTAATGATGGATCTCTCACAGTCTGCATCAAATACAGTAGAAAGTATTTATGTTAAAGTCGAAATTGCTCTTAAGTATAAAGTATTACATGAACACAATCACACTTGCAAAAAAAGTTTGATTATGTTCATGTAATACTGTCTACATTATAGTTTTGTTTTTGTAAAAGCTTTGTTATGGTTTTGTTTTTGTTTTTGTTGAGGTGGAGTTTCACTTTGTCACCCAAGCTAGACTGCAGTGGCAAGATCTCAGCTCATTGCAACGTCCGCCTCCCGGGTTAGAGCAATTCTCCCTGCCTCAGTCTCCTGAGTAGCTGGGATTACAGGCACCCACCACCACACCTGGCTAATTTTTGTATGTTTAGTAGAGACAGGGTTTTGACATATTGGCCAAGCTAGTCTTGAACTCCTGACCTCAGGTGATCCGCCTGCCTTTGGCTTTCAAAGTGCTGGGATTACAGCCGTGAGCCACTGTGCCCAGCCCTCAATGATGTTTTACATGTAAGATATATATATATTTTTTGACACAAATTTCACCCAATTTTATTTTTTCATGGGAGGGTATTCAGTAATAAAAAACATAAAAATATAGATAATCAACAATCTTTGGCCAGGTGCAGTGACTCATGCCTGTAATCCCAGCACTTTGGGAGGCCAAGGCGGGTGGATCACTAGGTCAGGAGATCAAGACCATCCTGGCTAAGACGGTGAAACCCTGTCTCTACTAAAAAATACAAAAATTAACCGGGCATGGTGGCACACACCTGTAGTCCCAGCTACTTGGGAGGCTGAGGCAGGAGAATTGCTTGAACCCGCAAGGTGGAGGCTGCAGTGAGCCGAGATCATGCCACTGCACTCCAGCCTGGGTGACAGAGTGAGACTCCATCTAAAAAAAAAAAAAAAAAAAAAATCTTCAAAATAAAAAATTACCATGTTAAAATGTATGTTTTTAACAGGGATACAAAGGGAAAGGCACAGTATCCAGAATTCTCACCCTCGTCTGTTACTAACCAGTTGTGACCTGAGCTGGGCCTGGACCCCAGCAGACCTGGTGTACCTGCTTTGCTAACTGGACAGTTTACCAACTCTTCTGAAGCCCTAGTGTCCTAATCTGTTAATGACATTATCTGCCCTCAGGGTTATGGTAAAGATTAAATGACTTAAATGAAAATATCCATATAAGGTTCTTTGGCACAGTCATTAAAACCAGAAGCCTATTCATTCGTAGAAAAATACTAATCTGAAATCATATCACATAAGACCTTATAAGTATAACAAAACTACGGCATACACAAGTTTTTCATGGTTAGTTTCCTTTTGAGACAATCTTGCACTGTCACCAGGCTGGAGTGCTGTGGTGCGATCTTGGCTCACTACAACCTCCGATTCCCTGGTTTAAGTGTTTCTCCTGCCTCAGCCTTCTAAGTAGCTGGGATTAGAAACACACGCCACCACACCCAGCTAATTTTTGTATTTTTAGTAGAGACCGGGTCTTACCATATTGGCCAGGATGGTCTTGATCATCCGACCTCGTGATCCGCCTGCCCTGGCCTCCCAAAGTGCTGGGATTGCAGGCCACAGTGCCTGGCCCATGATGTTAGTGTTGATGTAAAAAGAACTAAATCCTTTAACTGTCTACATGCTAATTTTTAACATAACTGTTATCTAGCTTACTTTCTGAGTGTTTTGAAGTGCCTACTCAACTATATGTCTTGGATTTTTTCTGGTAACAGGAATCACCCCAGCTACGTAACCAAAAATTAGTTTCCTAGATCAGTGTTGGGAAGAAGGTGCTAGTTTCCTATAATAGCGCCCTCCAAAATAAGCACCAAAGGAATAACTGCTGTCTGTAAGCCTCAAGCTCCCCATCTGTTTTGGAAAGTTTCACTCTTGTTGCCCAGGCTGGAGTGCAATGGCGCAATCTCAGCTCACTGCAACCCCCGCTCCCAAGTTCAAGTGATTCTCTTGCCTCAGCCCCACAAGACGCTGGGATTACGGGCGCCTGCCACCACACCTGGCTAATTTTTTTTATTTTTGGTAGAGATGGAGTTTCACCATGTTGGCCAGGCTGGTCTCGAACTCCTGACATCAGGTGATCCACCTGCCTCGGCCTCCCAAAGTGCTAGGATTACAGGCATGAGCCACCGAGCCTGGTTACCCCGTGTTTTAACCAGAGTAGAAGTCAGTAACCCAGGATCCCTTCCAGTTTCCAAATGCCATTGCTCACCACGCATATACAGAAGAGGAAATTTGGTATAGAAGGGGACTCTGAGGTCTTACTGAATTAGGGAGTAGCAGAAAAATGTACTATTTTTGGAGAAAAGTGGCAGAGAAACAAATGGCTTCTGGATAAATTGCTCTATCCACCAGCCTTGGCTCCATCTGAGCTTTTACTCAATTTGCTACATTAACATCAAAAGGAAAGAAAAGAGCCATGAAATGCAGCAACCCAGTAGTGGTGAAAAAAGCACTCTTGCTTTTCCAAATGTATGCTAAGTTGGGTAATTCTTGAGTGTTTCCTACACAGCTTTCAGAGACAAATGAAAACAATTTTAAACACTCACTTTGTTGTACACACTTCCCCTGTATAAACTACAAGTTACCAAAATAGAGCCAGTCACATTAACTGAATGAATTCTCAGATTCTTTCTGAATTTCAATTTCATAAGCAGAAAGTAATAATGCCTTCAGGTGGTTTTAAGAATTAAGAAAACAATGTAATTCCCTCAGCCTACTTCCTGGCATGCAGCAGGCACTAATGTGGCACACGTCTATTTTATAGTTATGCCATGCTAAATAAGTTTGATATAACTGAGTTACAGCAGATTTTTCCATCTGTGAAAAAACATAACAATTATATTTACCTCTATATTATTATTCATTAGCCCACAAGCATCAGCAAAGTCTGGATGTTTTGTGTTGATATAAGCCAATTCAATTGCCACTAAGTTATGGACCTAGAAAAAAATAAGTTACGCTATATACAAAAATACATTAACCATATTTTACTTTGAGAAATTTATATATAAAACTTATGAAACAGACAATACTGAAAAAGTACAGGAAACATATGCCTAAATAACTACTTGATAATTATATTCCAACTGATAAATCTTAGGCCAAATAATTATTTACTCTAGCTTTAAAATTATTTACATTTTGGCATCTAAAATTGCATTTCTAAGAGGGAAAAATAACGTTAAAGTAACTGCAAGTATTTTACTGTTAGGGAAAACCAGTTATCTTCCTGATGCAAGTCTAAATTTCAAGGCTTTATGCAACTTTGCTAGTGAAACTTCAGATCATCCACTATTCCACATCACTTTTTTAGTTCATTTTTAACAGCATAAGTTCATAACCAGACATCAGTTAAAGATGTTAACTTTATGTGAACTTTATTTGGGTAAAGGATACATCTAAAGACCTGAGGTAGTGACTAATTAGCCTTAACTATAACGCACCTAATTTAAAATATATGTAGTTCAAAATCCTAAGAGGACAATAAAAAAGGAAAGTTGGGATTAATTTATCTAGACCTCTACAGAGCTGCTAAATCTTTTTTTTTTTTTTTTTTTGAGAAAGAGTTTCGCTCTTGTTGCCCAGTTCGGAGTACAGAGGCACGATCTCAGCTCGCCACAATCCCTGTCTCCTGGGTTCAAGCGATTCTCCTGCCTCAGCCTCCCGAGTAGCTGGGACTACAGGCACACACCACCACGCCCAGCTAATTTTGTATTTTTAGTAGATGGGGTTTCTCCACATTAGTCAGGCTGGTCTCAAATTCCCAACCTTCAGGTGATCCACCTGCCTTTGGCCTCCCAAAGTGCTGGGATTGCAGGCATAAGCCACCATGCCACTAAGTCTTACAGAGAGGATAAACTTAAGCCCTTTACTATGTCCTGTCCTAACAAATCTCAGGTATCAGAACAGCATTTATCAGCCCAGAACAAGGTGAAAAGGATCATTAAAATGAAGTTCCAATGATTCTGTGCTAAAGGCAGTCTTAGACATCAGAATCTGAGGGCTATCCTCACTAAGGAAACAACCAAGCAGCAGCACTTACATTCCAAGGATGGTTTTGTACTCTTAGTAAACCTCCACGGGGCTCACCATCTTGAGCCAAGGACCCAAATGCATTTTTAGTGATCAGAAAGAAAACAAAACAAAAAAACCCAGCCAACAATTAGAGGCATAAGAGCAATTTTAAATGCTTATCCCATATTTCTGCCAATTTTAGCATTTTGTGTGTGTGTGTGTGTGTACAGCAGCAACCCACAGAACAGTAGCAAGCAACTAGAAATTAGAGTTTCATAACAAGCAAATTAGTCATAACAAGCAAACTGCAGAAGTGGCCAGATTACTCTGATGTATCTCAGAGTGTATATAAAGGCTCAGTTTACTGAGGCTAAAGATGGAACTAATTTTCTCTTAAGATCAGTGGTACTACATAATACAGCAAAGCTATTCATAACCCTCAATCATAAATATATTCTCAAGAAAACCCATGCCTGCAGGCTAACAATGATTATATAAAGTAAAAATGCACTTTATACCAAAATTATTTAAAATTTTCCTTTGAAATGAGGTGGAAACTCAACTTTTTTCCTCTCAATACACTGGAAAACATTATGCCTAAACTCTAAAGTAACCATATAATGCTCATTAAAAAGCAGCCAAGCAAAAATATAAATTTTTACTAAGAGTAATTACAAGGGTCTATGATATAGTAGCTCACCATTTCATTTGTAACAGGCAATCTTTTACGAAGAAGACAAGTCACCACTTCAACTATGGCATCGTGAAGCTTAGGAAATCGTAACAATTCCTATAAATGGCAGATGAAAGAAAAACAATTTTTTTTTTAAAGACATATTCTCACTAAGCCATCCTCCCACCTTAGCCTCCCAAGTAGCTGAGACTCCATGTATAAGCCACCATGCGAGGCTCACAATAATTTTCTTTCACTTAATGATCACAGAAATACTGAATTAGATTTGGAGACTATATTTAAGGATACCATTTCAGTCGGGCAGCCAGTTAGCTCAGTTGGTGAGCTAACCGACCACCTGACAATACAAAAAAAAAAAAAAAAGAATACTATTTCAAATCACTTCCAGGTAAGGGAACTACAGATTTTTACCTTATATTCCATCTTACTCATTTCCTTCCACCCAATGAAACCACCACTTCATGTCTTTTTCTAGTTTATGTGAAACCTGTTACATTTCTCTCTCAGTTACCTGTGTACTGTAATTGCTACAGTGCTGAATAATCCTTTGCATTTCCTCATGAACCAGTTCCACACAGCGGAGGCTGGGCTCTTCTAAACGTTTGATTTGCCGCTTGACCAGTAACTCAAAAGAAACTTCAGGCACAAACAAAGCAGGACGAGGACCCTGAAAAAATAAAACTTAGAACTCTTATTATAGCTATATATAATTTCAGTTCTTCCCAAAAGTTAAGAAAATAAGTCACATTTTTGGTACTTTTCATGAAAAATGCTTTCTAATTTCAAATATGAGAGCAAAATAACAAACTATAATTAAATTTAAAAAGACATAGTATGTGAATAAGAAAAACTTTAGCCTCACTTTTTTAAAGTCTAAAAGCTAAGCATACTCACAGTAGCATTTCTAATGGCAGTCAAAATGTCAATAGTGTTAAGGCCACCAAGTGGATCAACAGATTCTAAGGTTCGCCCAAAAGTCTCATGGAAAATATAACAAATTCTAGCACCACCGCATCTGAAAGGCAATGAAGTATATGGTTTCTGGCATTGTGAAAAGGGAAAGAAATTACAAGTTATAAGTCTTTCTGGAAGCTTTAAGCTCATCTTATTTTCTGAGAAAGCCTCAGATAAACAATTTCATTCATTCCTATTTCCGTGTGTTCTAACTCAAGTCATTATGAACTAGTTTGAACTAGTTTCTCTAAATTTTTTATATGGGAAAAGGAATCATTTCATGATAGGTAGGGGTGTGGGTGTGTGTGTATGTGTGTGTGTGTGTAAAATATATACTTGTAAATATAATAATTGTTCTGACATAAAACATCAGTTAACTAAGAATTGCTAAGCACCTTTTCTCTGCCCTAGTTTTCCTCAACTAGAATATAAGCTCTTTAAGGACAGGAAATAGTGCCTTATATTTATTTCCATTGATTCACAATCAAGAGTAGAGAGGTTGGCAAACTTTTTCCATAAAGGGTCACAGAGTTAATATTTTGGGCTTTTTAGGCTGTACAGTCTCTGCTGCAACTACTCACCTCTACCATTAAGCACATAAGCAGTCATAGACAATATGTAAACAAATAAGCATAGCATGTTAGCCAGGCTTGTCTCGAACTCCTGACCTCAAGTGATCCACCTACCTCGACCTCCCAAAATGCTGGGATCACAAAGACAAATTAAATCTCTTTATCTAGGTACTAAGCACCTTATGTTTCCTATCTTGTTTAATAACTAGAAACCCTAGAATTGTCTTTTTTAAAATTCAAGTCCAATTGAATTCTACAAATACCTTTGATAATGCTTCCCCCAAATCATCCCTTCCTCTCTATTTTTACAACCACTATTGAGTACATTTTTATAGTAGCTCAGGCAAAAGATACTGGTCTAACATTATTCTAACAGAAATAAGCCAAGCACAAAAGGACAAATACTGAATGATTCAATTTATATGAAATATCTAAAATAGGCAAATTCATAGAAACAGAAAGTAAATTCGGCCGGATGCGGTGGCTCACACCTGTAATCCCAGCATTTTGGGAGGCCAAGATGGGCAGATCACCTAAGGTCAGGAATTCAAGACCAGCCTGGCCAACATGATGAAACCCCGTCCCTACTAAAAATACAAAGAAAATACAAAAATTAGCTGGGTATGGTGGCAGGCACCTGTAATCCCAGTTACTCAGGAGGCTGAGGCAGGATGATCGTTTGAACCTGGGAGGCGGAGGTTGCAGTGAGCCCAGACTGCGCCACTGCACTCCATCCTCCCTGACAGAGTGAGGCTGTCTCAAAAAAATAAAAAAGGTAAAGTAGAGGTTACCAGGGCTGGAGGAGAGGGGAATGAGGAGTAACTACTTAATAGATAAGAATTTCTATTGCAGCGATGAAACATTTTAGAAATAGATGTTACTGATAGTTGTTCAACACTGTAAATGTAAATCATGCTACTCAATTGTGCACTTAAAGTGGTTAAAATTACCAGTAATTGATCTCTCTGCCTCCAACCTTTCCCTTCACCAAATAATTTTTCAAAATTACTAGAATTATCCTTCTAAAATAAATGATTCGGCCAGGCACAGTAGCCCACCCTCGTAATGCTAGCACTTTGGGAGGCTGAGGATGGCGGATCAGTTGAGGTCAGGAATTCAAAACCAGACTCGTCAACATGGTGAAAACTAAAAACACAAAAAAATTAGCCAGGCGTGGTGGCAGTTTCCCGTAATCCCAGATACTTGGGAGGCTGAGACAGGAGAATTGCTTAAATTTGGGAGGTAGAAGGTACAGTGAGCTAAGATCATACCACTGCACTCCAGCCTGGGCGACAGAGTGAGACTCTGTCTCATAAAAATAAATAAAATAAATTATTCCTCTGACCAAAAGTGTTTTTTTTAATAAGACATTCTCCAAATTCTGAACAAAATATTAAAGACTTTCTAGAGTCTTGTTCCTAGACACCCTTCCTGCCTTATCTCTTATTATGTCCCATCATTATACATGCTGTTCTCCACATACATTATTTTTGCATTATTCTTTGCTATTCCCAAGCTTAAAATGCCCTCTCATTACTGCCTTCTTGAATTCTATTCAGAGCACCATTCAAATGCTTTCTTAAATGTGGAGCTTTCCCAAACCCTGAAATAAATGTACATGGTGTCTCTTCAATGTCTCAAATGCTTGATTAGGTGGACACAGATAATTGGTTTATTAACTATTTACAAAATGTACATATAAGCTGTATGTACTTTTCTAAATATGAATTATATCTAACAATAAGAAGTATTTAAATAAAATAGTTATACTTTTGCAACCTAATCAAGCCCCGTATTACCCTGACCTACCTTACCCAGTAAACTCTTTAAAGGCCCATTGTGGTAGTCTTTACTTCCCTCAATATGCCATACATATAAGCATTGAATAATTTCTCTGATAAATACTCTCATTATGGGAGTTGACTCATATGAAGTCCACCTCCCACTAAAGTATACAGAACAACATACACACAAATGAGTTCATGTATAATTGGTGAACTCTGAACAAGCTCTGTGGATTGCACCCATCCCCATTTTCTCACGGTTATTGTACTATAGTTATGCAAGATGTCCAACAGTGGGGGAGGAGGGGAAGGGTACACAGTGGAGGGTGCTGCGACCTCCCTTTACATCACCTTGCAACTTCCTGTAAGTCTAATTATTTCAAAATAAAAAGGTTTTCTAATGAAGGTGTAGAGAAATGGATGTACTTGCTAGTAGTAAAACAGTACAATATGCTAACAGTATGCAGTATGTCATGAAAGATTCTAAGGATGTTATATCGTTTAATAAACCTACTTCTACGAATTTATCCTCAGTGTTTACCTGGACACAGTGCCCCAAAGATAGGTGCGGGTAGTCCATCACAGCACTGTTTATATGTGTCTATAACAGAAAACAAACTCTCCAGTAGTAGGAGAGTAGCCCAATAAATGAGGCTATATCTAAAAAGTAAAATACTATGCAAATCTTCCAACTGACAATATGAGAAAGTTGTTACATGGTTTAAGAATTATTTCAAAATAAGTATAGCATCTGATTTTTAAAGATGTACAGTACAGGCATTTCTGTGTTATAGATGCACAGCAAAGTGCCTAGGTCAATGCCAAATTTTAGGAAGTACCTCGGGTTGGTGAAATTAAGGGTTTGTTTTCGTTTTAAGAGATGGGGTCTCCTTTTTTAGTGCCATCTGCTTGCGGTGCCACCTCCTGCTCCTCCTACTGCAGCTGCCACCCTGAGTCACTGCCTGTGCAGCTCTAGCCACCTGGCTCCCCATACTAGCCACCAACATTTGGAGTTCTTACAACATGGCAGACACTGACAACCTGCCTACGGTAGTTAAAAGACGAGTGAATGCTCTCAACAACCTGCAAGTTAAATGTGCACAGACAGAAGCCAAATTCTAGGAGGAAGTTCAAGATCTTGAAAGGAAGTATGCTGTTCTATATCAGCCTTTATTTGATAAGCAATTTGAGATTATTAATGCAATTTATGAACCTATGGAAGAAAAATGTGAACAGAAACCAGATGACGATGAGATTTTGGAGGAGTTGAAAGAAAAGGCCAAGATTAAAGATGAGAAAAAGGATGAAGAAAAAGAAAACCCCAAAGGAATTCCTGAATTTTGGTTAACTGTTTTTAAGAATGTTGACTTGCTCAGTGATATGGTTCAGGAACATGATGAACCTATTCTGAAGCACTTGAAAGATATTAAAGTGAAGGTCTCCGAAGCTGGCCAGCCTATGAGTTTTCTTAGAATTTCATTTTGAGCCCAATGAATATTTTACAAATGAAGTACTGACAAAGACATATAGTATGAGGTCAGAGCAGATGATTCTCATCCCTTTTCTTTTGATGGACCAGAAATTATGGGCTGTGCAGGGTTCCAGATAGATTGGAAAAAAGGAAAGAATGTCACTTTGAAAACCATTAAGCAGCAGCAGAAACACAAGGGACATGGGACAGTTCATACTGTGATTAAAACAGTTTCCAATTACGCTTTCATTTTTTTTTTTTTTTTTTTTTCTTTTGCCGCTCCTGAAGTTCCTGAGAATGGAGATCTGGATGATGATGCTGAAGCTATCTTTATCTTTGCTGCAGTCTTTGAAATTGGTCACTTTTTACGTGAGCATATAATCCCAAGATCAGTGTTATACTTTACTAGAGAAGCTATTGAAGATGATGATGATGATGATGATGATGAAGATGAAGAAGCAGATGAGAAAGGGGAAGAAGGAGATGAGGAAAATGATCCAGACTCTGACCCGAAGGATCAAAATGCAGCAAAATGCAAACAGCAGTGAAGCAAGAAGTATGTGGCCTTGAGGATAACCTGCACTGTCACAGCCTAAACACAACTCTTATTTACTTACAGCCTTTTGTATTTTCTTGGTAGATAAGGTAATTTTATTTTAAAGACAAGAAACTGATATTTTAAAGACCAATTTGTTCTAATTAGCATTTTAACTAGTTTTTCTGCCAAATACGTTGAATGCACAAATTCTGTAACACGTTTCATTCATCGCTGCATAATTTGGTTCTTCTGGAATATTTTTATGTAGCTCTTGGAGTACAGCTATGAAAATGTCAAGTGTTAAAGGAAACCTTTTTTTTTTTTTTTCCATAATTTTTTCCCTGAAGAACGAAAGTATTTTTTCAGCTGGTTGTTGAATATGGTTAAGTCCACTTGGATTAGCTGTGCCTTTCATTACTCTGTTACAGAAACATGGTGACTTATATAAGACAATTCATCGTTTTAAATAAACAACTGGTAAGACAACTGTATGGTTAAGAATTTCCAGTATAACCACACCCAATAAGTATATTTAATGGAGTATTGTGTTAAAAGTGACATAGTTAACTATAAAGTAACCTGACTCAGTATAGTTAATGGTACCACAGTGAGGTGAATAAAACAGGATTTTCAGAAGTTAGCCTGAATTTAACTGTACTTTTAAATTTAACCTCCATTAAACCAAGCATCTTTTCTTTGTGGCAATGTCTACCTTCTGCTTTCCTGAAAAGGAAGAATTTATATCATTTGACAAGCCTATTCATTGTTTGTTTTTGGTTTTGCAGCCTAAAATAAAAATTTCAAATACAATTTTAGTTCTTACAAGATATAGTGTCTTAATTTTGTACCAATTCAGGTAGAAGCAGAGGCCTAGCTTGAATTAAGGGTTATACTCAGTTTTTACCATATTATTGAAGAAAAGGGTACCAGCTTTGGAAAGAGATACTATACTAATAAGCAAATGTAAAAAAAAAAAAAAGAAGAAGAAAATCTTAAGTGATTCTTTAAAAAAAAAAATTAAAGTTCATTTTCTTTGGGTTAGAGCTAGAGAGAAGGCCCCAAGCTTCTGTGGTTTCTTTTAATTCTTATTGCTTAAATTATGAGTATGTCACTTACCCATGCTTCTATTTACTGTGTATTAAAATGGGTACTAAGTACTTAACTACCTCACGGATGGGTTAAGGCATATTGAGTTAAATCTCGTAAAAGGTTTCTCAATCTCACTAAAAGCTCAAGATTTTGGGCCTATTTACAGTGTGACACTCAGCATTTTGTTCACACCACACTTTGATAACTAAACTGAAAAAAGATTAAGTACCTCTGTTCTAGATCTGGGCAGGCAGCACTCTTTCAGATCTTTGTGTGGCTCCTATTTTCATAGAAGGGAATGGATGCACTATTTCACAAGGTCCAAGAATTTTTTTTGGATATTTTTGTTTATTGTATTGTAGTAAATACTATACGGATCGCACTACAGTATTGTAGTCATGAGACTAAAGTGGAAATAAGACTATTTTTGACAAAAGATGCTATTAAATTTCAGACTATATGGCCACATTTATGATACCTCAGGCTAATTACTGTTAATTTGGGGATTGAACTTTTTTTTGACGAGGGTGGACTACTGGATTGTTATTAGAGAAAGGTTTAGATTTCTTACTCTTAATAAAATTACATTGAATTCTTTTAGAGGTGATAAAAACTTCCTATTTGAGAAGTGAGTGTTAAAGTCTTAGAATGCGAGCACATTGTAGTGCTACCCATTCCTCTCCTGAGATTTCAAATTACTACTGAAAATCCTTAACCAATTATAACAGCTTTTTTCTCTTTATTTTTAAAATGATTTCCTTTGCTGTGATTAGACATTCTGTGTTTATCTTTTTTTTTTGTAACCAAAGTTTATTTAATGCAGCTTTTTCTGAACTTTAAAGAAAGAATCCTATTTTTAATGAACTGAAGTAGCACAGTCTTTTTTTTTTTTTTTTTTTTTTTGAGACCGTCTCGCTTTGTCGCCAGGCTGGAGTGCAGTGGCGTGATCTTGGCTCACTGCAACCTCTGCCTCCCAGATTCAAGCTATTCTCCTGCCTCAGCCTCCCAAGCAGCTCGGATTACAGACACGCGCCACCACGACCAGCTAATTTTTGTATTTCAGTAGAGACGGGGTTTCTCTATGTTGGCCAGGATGGTCTCAATCTCTTGACCTCGTGATCCGCCCACCCTGGCCTCCCGAAGTGCTGGGATTACAGGTGTGAGCCACTGCGCCTGGCCCATCTTTTTTATTCTTTTAGGAAATAGCTATTGCCAAAATGAAGGTGTAGATACTACCTAGTCTTGTTATACAATGGTGATGTGGTTTGCAGAAGAATTTTCTTTATAAAATTGAAGTTTCAAGGGATACCAGTGTTTATGCCATTTTTCCAGTTCCAAAATGATTCCATTCTATTCTAGAAATCTGAAGTATGTAACTTAAAATCCTCAATAAAAATTTGGATTTAATTTAAAAAAAAGAGAGAGAAAGAGAGAGAGATGGTGTCTCAATATGTTGCCCAGGCTGGCCCCATTCAAACTACTCCTGGGCTCAAGGGATTCTCTTACCTCAGCCTCCCAGGTAACTGGGACTACAGGGGCACACCACCACATAATGTTGTTTTTATGTTTTATCTTTACTTATCTGCATTTTATAATTTTTTAAAAACAATTATACTGTATTAAAGAAACAAACACTTTAAGAGCTAAATTAAGAAATATTTTAAATACTTATTAAAATATTGTTTTAAAAATACCTGAAAATTTTTACTTTGCTTTACATTGTTTACAAAACATATGTTCACACAATGAGACATCATCCTATTACCTCTACAAAATTACATTTGTGTTTTATAGATAACAAATCTCAATCAGATAATCTGAGCTAAAGTCATCTTAACAAAAGGAAAAGTGGTCTAGCAATCTAGGTAACCAAATCCACAGAAAAATGTCTTACAGTTCCGAAGTTTCAATATATTTTGCAGTTCCTTCAATAGTGTTACAATATTCTGTGGCAAATTTGGTAATAAGCTGGAGTAAAGTAGCACTTTTATCATCCACAGGTTCACCGTAGCTATTGAGAAGAGACTGATACTGAGCAGCTAGAACATTTATTCTTGTTTTCAACTCTGGTAAGCAGTCTCTGATGTGATGCATCAGTAACCTAAAAAAGGTTAGAAAGGAAGGATTTAAAAGTAAAATTGTATATTCTGAAGCCCCAAATAAGTCAAATTTTTAAAAAGGAAATAATGGGGAAAACCTGTCAGATAATTTGTATTGGCAATGTGATACTGTGAAATATGTATTTGGTCTTTGTCTCCATTTCCTGGCAGTTGGATCCTAAAATCCTTGGAGTCTCCATGAGCCTAAGAGTGTTTAAAGTGTCTTTGCATGATAATAAGATGACTGGTGGCTGAGGGTCCCTTGTCAGCTTCAGGATGGTGCCTGGTCACCAGAAAGGCTAAGGCATGATTAGAGCGCTGGGGGTTTCAACCCCCTTCTCCAGCCTCAGAAGAGGGGAGACAGGCCACAGGTTGAGCTGATCACCAATGGCCAATGATGCTTCCATAAAAACTCAAAACGACACAGTTCATGGAGTCTTCGGAGAGTTGAACACAAGAAGGTTCCTGGAATGTGGGAGCACAGAAGCTCCACATTCCTTCCTACATGCCCAGCCCCGTGCATCTCTTCATCTGGCTGTTTTATCTATATCTTTTGTAATATGCTTCATAATAAGTGGGTAAATGTTAACTAGTTGTTTCCTTGACTTATATGAGCCACTCTAACAAATTAATCAAACATGAAAAGGGGGTCATGGGTACCCTGACTTATAGCCCATCAGTCAAAAACAGGCTACAACCTGGCTTAAAATTACCATCTGACTTTGGGGCAGTCTTGTGGGACTGACCCCTCAACCTGTGGGAGCTGATGCTATCTCCAGGTAAATAAGTGTTAGCACTGAATTAAAGTACATCCCGTTAGAATCCCCTAGAGAATTCCTTGCTTGCTGCATGGGGGAAACTCCCCATGTATCTGATGTTAGAAGCATTCTGTGCCATACTGATGAAGTGTATATGATGGGAAAAAAACACTTTGGTTTTTCCTAAATCATAAAAGCAAGGAAAAAATGCAAATTATTTTCATATTACTGCAATTACCATAGAGGAAGCAAATCACTCAATCAATTCTTCCTATATAATTTTGGTTTCACTGACTTGTCATTTACAGTTGGTACCCAGCAAAGTGAAAATCAATCTTATTAAGATCCAAGTCTATCAGTCTTTAGGGAATAAGATAAAAGTAAGAGAAAATGGCTTCTACTTCAGTCATTTATAAATCATCTAGAAAGGTCTTCTAGTTCCCCCCACCATGAGTGGGTATTCAGAATCCAACGTATACAATTTAAGTTATTTCTACAATAAATAGGAAAAAAAGACATTCTATTTCTTTCTTTGTTTTTCCATCTCCCTTTTCTGGCAAATAGAAGACATTCTAAATTAAGAACAGATAACGTGAAAATTATAAATTTTAATGCAGTTCCTGCAATGCAAAGTGGAAGTAAAGTCATCTCTAGTTCTATCCTCAAAACCAAACTGACTGTCAAATTTTCATAATTAAATCGTTTTAAAATCACTTGAACATTCATTCTAGACTACATGACGACATAATGTCAACCACCCCAATAAAAATAGAGACATCTATTCTTCAGGAACCTACTATATAAGAAACCATAAGGAAAGCTGTTAGACAACAGTATGAAAATGTAAGGAACTAAAAATGAACCCTCTCAGACATCGACTGGTAAAACGAACACATCTCATTTCCAAAAGGTAAAAAAAAATTACCTGTTTAGAGTCCTAGCAAGATATTTTGTTCCATTTCTATTGGCCAGAGATGGATATTTCTTTTGAAGAAAAGCATACTCATCACGGATTGAATCAGTTACACTCTTCTTGTTGTTAATATCTAGCTGGCTCCTGAGGTTGAAAAAATAACAAAATTGTTCAACTTCACAGTTGTCCTCTTCCTACCTTAGATGATGACAGGGCCAGGTATTGTTCTCTAATACCTGACATGGACTGGTTTACTTAATTCTCATAATTTTATGTGACAGGTATTATTATCCCATTGTTTAGTAAGGAACTGAGGCTCACAGAGACTACTTATCCAAGGTCATATGCTAACTGGCATAGCCAAGACTTGAACTATTTGAATTATAACTAGTGGCTAAATAGTGTAGGCCTCATTATTACCATTAACTATAGACAAAAACAATAAGTAACACGTATAGACAGGTATAAAAATGTAAAGAGTATCTCAGTGACCTGTATATTTTATCTATGGACAGGGAACTAATTTCTACCAAAAATTAAGTTAACTTGAAGAACAATCATCTACAAACAACAAACAGTATTACGCCACTTGCTTACCTGAAAAAGGAGACAGTGGGAAATGGGAGTAGGGATGAGGGAATGAGAGTAGGGGTGGGATGGAAGGACAATAAAATAGAAGCAGACAACTGGAATGGATCCTATATATCAGGTAGTAAAAACATTTCCATTATCTTTTTTTTTTTTGAGACAGGTCTCACTCTGTCACCCAGGCTGGAGTGCAGGGGCACAATCCCCGCTCACTGCAACCTCTGCCTCCTGGGTTCAAGTGATTCTCTTGCCTCAGCTTCCCAAGTAGCTGGGACAACAGGCACGTGCCACCATGCCCAGCTAATTTTTTATTTTTAGTAGAGACGGGGTTTCACCATGTTGGCCAGGCTGGTCTTGAACTCCTGACCTCAGGTGTGATTCGCCCGCCTCGGCCTCCCAAAGTGCTGAGATTACAGGCGTGAGCCACCGTGCCCAGCCAACATATTCATTTTATAAAGGCTTAAGACCCAAAGACATTAGGTGTCATTTAAACCTACATTGTATCTAGTTTATGGAAGAACTGGGACTAGAACTCAGATTTCATAATAATTTCTGTGTTTCCTACCATATGAAGGCTTTGGACTGAAAGAGATATTCACTCGGATCCAGCTCTTTAACTACCCATGTGACTTTGGGTTAAATGTATAACCTGAGGTTTCTGATTATAAAATAGACATCAACACCTACCCACCTACCTCAGAGGATGCTGTGAGGATTCCAAGAGATACCATTTACAAACTGCTCACAGTAGAGTGTCTAAAACATAATTAGACACTCAATAATAATTTCCTTTTCACGATTTTTAATACCAGCTATTTATAATTAGGATACCTTTAATAAAATTTCTCCAAGTTACATCCTGGCAATTACACAGAATCACTAATGCTAGGGATTAAACCAATCTATTAAAATCCTGCCACCTTAAATTCTTTCTGGAATGGGTGCACATTAGGTAATTTTTCCCTTAACCAGTGCCTCCTCATACACAGCTTAACATGATAGGCAAGAACTCTTAAAGCCTGGCTATTACAACACTTCTTCCATTTTGTGGTACTGCTTACTTTAGAAACATTTTCTATTAAAAATGTCTACTAGGCCAGGGATAGTGGCTCATCCCTATAATCCCAACACCTGGGAAACCAAGGCGGGGAGGACTGCTTGAGCCCAGGAAGTCAAGACAAACCTGGGCAACATAGCAAGACTTTGTCACTACAAAAAAATTAAAAATTAGCCAGGTGTGGTGGTACATACCTGTAGTCCCAGCTACCTGAAAGGCTGAAATGGGAGGATCACTTGAGCCCAGGAGGTAAAGGCTACAATGAACCACAATCACATCATTGCATTCCAGCCTAGGGAACAGAGAGAAACCCCATTTCCAAAAAAAAAAAAAATTTCTATGAGAGGCTTTAGTGAATGAATCTCTTTTATCCCTTTAGAGCAATGGATTCTTTAGCAATACCAAGATAATAGTAAAAGGGAGAAAAAATATAGGACAGTATCACATTTCAAACAGATTTTAGAAATTCACACTTGCTCTGAAGTGAGAATGCTACTAATTCTTATCCTATTTTTAACTGCTAACCTGTTAACTACTCCAATTATTCCAAGTTTGACGGGAATAACCCTTCCCATCAATACATCCATGGCATCAGTACCCGCATCCATGAGATCAAGTTTAGTGATTACAGCTAGGGTTCTGCGACCTGGTAAATGCAAAAAGAGAAAAGGGCAAAGAAAAGAAAGAAAGAAAATGATCCATTAAATAAAACTATTAAGTATTAATAAAGGAAAACCCTCATCTATAATCCCACGTAATATTACCTCTGTCATCATTTTGATAATGCCTTTCTTACCAGTGCTTTTTTAAAAATAATTTTAAACATTGAGTACAATTTTAAAAATATTTCTGCCAGGCACAGTAGCTCCTGCCTGTAATCCCAGCACTTTGGGAGGCCAAGACAGGTGGATCACTGAGGTCAGGAGTTCGAGACCAGCCTGACTAACATGGTGAAACTCTGTCTCTACTAAAAACACAAAAATTAGCCAGGCATAGTGGCAGGCACCTGTAATCCCAGCTACTCGGGAGGCTGAGGCAGGAGAATCGCCTGAACCCAGGAGGCAGAGGTTGCAGTGAGCCAAGATTGTGCCACTGCACTCCAGCCTGGGAGACAGAGACTCCATCTCAAAAAATACATATATACATATACATAAACATATTTCTTTCACATGTAATTTTTGTTGGCTCTTATGGCTATATTATAAGCATTTAAAAATTCTGTTTAAAATTTACATCCAGGTGATGTGGCTCATGCCTGTAATCCCAACATTTTGGAAGGCCAAGGCGGGCAGATTGCTTGAGCCCAGGAGTTCGAGACCAGCCTGGGCAAAGTGGTTAAACCCTGTCTCTACAAAAAATACAAAACTTAGCAGGGTGTGGTAGTCCTAGCCACAGGTGAGGCTGAGGTGGGAGAATCACCAGAGCCCAAGAGGTCAAGGCTGCAGTAAGCCATGATTGCGCCACTGCACTCCAGCCTGGGCAATGGAATGAGACCCTGTCTCAAAAAACAAAAATTAAAAACATTTACTTTTTTTTGGTGTACAATTCAAAGAGTTTTGACAAATGCCAAGACATGTGTCACAACCAACTCAAGACACTGCTGCTCTCCCAACAAATTTTCTTATGCTAACCAATCAAACCTATTTTCCATTCCTAGTTTTGCCTTTTCTAGAATGTTATATAAACAAAATCAGACAGTACTAACCTTTTGAGTCTGGCTTCTTTCATTTAGCATAATGCATTTGAGATTCATCCATGTTCTTGTATATTAATAGTCCATTTCTTTTTATTGCAGAGTAGTATCCCATTATATGGATGTACTATACCTTAGTTTCACTCCCCTTCTGAGAAACATGTGAGTTGTTTCTAGTTTTTAGAAATTATGAATAAAGCTGCTGTAGATATTTGTATATAGTTTTTTATATGAACACTGGTTCTCATTTAACATACACCTAGGAGTGGGACTGCTGATTTAACTTTATAAGGAACTGCCAGACTGTTTCCCAAAGTGACTATACCACTCCCACCAGCAATATATGAGAGTTCCAACTGTTCTGCATAGCATACAATTTTATCTATGGCATTTTTCAGTGATAAGCATTTTTATTTGTTTTTTTCTTTTCTTTTTTTTTTTTTTTGAGACAGAGTCTTACTCTGTTGCCCTGGCTGGAGTGAAGTGGCACAATCTTGGCTCACTGCAACCTTCATCTCCTGAGTTCATGCAATTCTCATGTCTCAGCCTCCCCAGTAGCTGAGATTACAGGCGTGCACCACCACACCTGGCTAATTTTTGTATTTTTAGTAGAGATGGAGTTTCGCCATGTTGGCCAGGCGGCTCTGGAACTCCTGGCCATAAGCGATCCACCCACCTCAGCCTCCCAAAGTGCTAGAATTACAAGCATGAACCACCACGCCTGGCCTATAAGCATTTTTCTGTATTGCTCCAAATCTACAAAATTATCCTTTTTAATTATTTCATATTATTGTAATTAATCCTCCCAACTGCTGACCATATTAAATTGTTTCTAATTTTTGATACTATAAATAATACTGGCTTAGATTATTTCCTTACAATGTATTACTAGATTAAGATTAGTAATCAAGGCAGGTGCAGGGACTCACTCCTATAATCCCAAAACTTTGGGAGACTGAGGTGGGAAGATCACTTGAGCCCAGGAGTTCGAAGTTGCAGTGAGCCATGATTATGCCACTGTACTCCAGGCCTGGGCAACACAATGAGACCTACCTCCAAAAAAAAATATGACCACATTTATGGCTCGAGAGTCAGTTTAAAATACAGTAAATACATACAAAAGGCTTAACAGGTTTTGTTTGTTTATGATGGTCTGGCTCTGTTGCCCAGGCAAGAGTGCAATGGCATGATCTCAGCTCACTGCAACCTCTGCCTCCCAGGCTCAAGCCATCCTCCCACCTCAGCCTCCTAAGTAGCTAGGACCACAGGCCGATGTCACCATGCCCAGCTAATTTTTTTTTTGTATTTTTTGTAGAGATGGGGATATCATTTTGCTGCCCAGGCTGGTCTCAAATTCCTGAGCTCAAGCGATCCACCACCTTGGCTCCCAAAGTGCTGGTATTACGGGCCTGAGTTGCAATCTAAATAATAAAAATAAAATGTAGATAAACCCTTTGATATAGTTTATCTTTTAATGTAACTAAAATGAACACTACTCATGTAGTAAAAAGGTTTCTTAAAAACTTGAAATAAAAAATTTTGTTAAAGTGACCCTGCTTATGGCTTATGAGAATTTTTATTGGCAGTCTTAGAACTATTTCCTATTGAATTTTTATTTGAAATTATTCTTCAAAGCAGGGAAAGAAAAACATAACACAACCTTCAGACCCTCTAATAGTAAGGTGGAAAAAATGGTTTCTATATGAGGCCATGCATACATTTGCTAGCAGCAATAATAACCACTCTATTACATGCTAGCATTTTATATATACTAAGATACGCACACTACGTCATTAGTCAAACATCAGTGACCCACTGTATGAACTAATCCTTGGGGTTAAAATGTTTCATGAAAGGAGTTTACCTTCATTTCTAAAAATCCCCTGTGTCTTGAGCATGTCTAAACATTTTCCACCTCTGCAGAATGTAGATACCATAATTCTCTACCATACCATAATAGTCTACAATGATTATCTACTTTTTTTTTTTTTTTAAACAGAGTCTCACTATGTTGCCCAGGCTGACCTCGAACTCTGGCCTCAAGCATTGCTCCTATCTCAGCCTTCTGAGTAGCTGGGACCACAGGCACATGTGACTACACCTGGCTATGTTATTTATTCTTAAAGATCAGCCATTCAAATACCTAAGTTGCAAAACAAGAAATCCTTTTTGCAAAGCCACTGTATTATTTTAAAATTATTAAGTAACCATTACAAATAAAGAGGTGAAATATTTTCGCCTACTCTGTATAGCAACTTAATAACCTTATTTTCCATCAGAATTTCTATTTAAAATTATAAACAAAAATAGGAAAGCATTATTTTTAAAATTTGTATTAACAACTAGAGATACTGTTTTTAAAGAGAAAACTTCCTTTCTCAAGGGTAGATTTACCATTGTAAAATAAGCATCTCATTAAATATTAACATCTGTCCTTACCATCTGGATCTACCTCTCTTGAAATTTTAAGTGCCTCTGATGTTGCCATATCTGTATTAGCAGCAGTGACAGCGAGGATAATGGAATTTGGGTTACTGATGAACCGAAGAATGAGCTCTCTGATCTGAAGCTCAATATCCTTAGGTTGATCACCTACAGGCACCTAAACCAAACAGAGATGAGCAAGGAACTAATAATTAAAAATCAACTCAGCTTTTTTATGCACATTTAATGCACAGAATATAGGTCTATCCATTTATAAATAGTTAAAGACATTAATAATATACTACATTGGCAGTTATGAATCTGGTAATGTGTCAAGTCTCAAAGTATAACTCTTGTGAATATCAAAAGTTGATTTAATACAATCCCATGTTAAGCATTGGTCAGTGTTGATTGCCTAGATACAAATTCATTTACTCATTCAATTATCAAGTGTTTACTGGCAGCCTACTCTATTTCAGGCACTTTTCTGAATGTGATTTCAGGTCATATCAGATCAGATAATGTTACAGTAGTGAATATTAAAAAGACCAAACTTCCTGCCTTCATAGAACTTACGTTTTAGTGATAACAGGCAAATAAGAAACAAAAACATATATATAATATCCAGATGGTGGATATCTGGCCTGTGGAAAAATAAGGCAGAACAGTAGGCTGGGGAATGATTAGAGAAGATTATGACTTTTTTTTTTTTTTTTTGAGATGGAGTCTCGCTCTGTTGCCCAGGCTGGAGTGCAGTGGCGTGATCTCAGCTCACTACAACCTCCACCTCCCAGGTTGAAGTGATTCTCCTGCCTCAGCCTCCCAAGTAACTAGGTTTATAGGTGTGCACCACTATGCCCCGCTAATTTTTGTATTTTTAGTAGAGATGGGTTACACCATGTGTTGCTCAGGCTGGTCTCGAACTCCTGACCTCGTGACCCACCCGCCTTGGTCTCCCAAAGTGCTGGGATTACAGGTGTGAGCCACCCGTGCCCAGACTTTTTTTTTTTTTTTTTTTTGAGACAGGGTCACACTCTATCACATAGGCTAGAGTGCAGTGGTCCAATCACGGCTCACTGCAGCTTTGAACTCCTGGGCTCAAATGATCCTCCTGCCTCAGCCTCCCAAAGTACTGGAACTACAAGCATAAGCCACTGCACCTAGCAATTACAATTATGATTTTAAATTGTTGTAAATTAGATTATGTTTTTAAATAGAGTAATTAGGGAAACTTCTACGAGACAACTGACATTTCAGAGAATGAGCAGAAATTAAGCCAATAAGGGAGAGGTACAGACAGACATCTGGGGAAAGGACATTCCAAACAGAGTGAACAATAAGGGCAGGAGGCTGAAGCAAGAGGAGTTAGGAGAACAGGGACATATCAAGTAGATACTTTAGATCTCTGTAAAAACTTGGGCTTTTAACTCTCGAGTGAAAGGGGAGAGGTTTTAAGCCAAGGAATGACAAGGAACTGGAAAAGTTTTGAGCCAAGGAATGATACAATCGAATTTTCACTTTAATAGTATCACTGTCTGCTAAGATGAGATCATGAGGAAGACCTATTATTTATTACTGTGCAGTAATCCAGGTGGCATGATAGTGGCTAGATCAGGACAGTAGCTATGAATTTATAAAACATGATTGAATTCTGGGTATACTGTAAAGGTAGGGAGAGTCAAGAGGAATTGCTGGCAGGAAGTGGGATGTTGGAAAAATTAGTGTCAAGGATGACTACAAACTCTGGCTAAGCAACTGGTAGAATGGAGTTGCCATTTATTTATTTAGAGACAGTCTCACTCTGTTGGCCAGGCTGGAGTGCCATGACAAAATCATAGCTCACTGTAGCCTCAAATTCCTGGGCTCAAGCAATCCTGCCTCTGCTGGGACTACAGGCGTGCAACACCATGCCCAACTAATTTTTGTATTTTTTGTCGACACATGGTCTCCCTGTGTTGCCCAGGCTGGTCTCAAACCCCTAGGCTCAAAGAATTCCTCCCACCTTGATCTCCCAAAATGCTGGGATTACAGAATAAGCCACCACGCCTGGCCTGAGTTGCCATTTATTGTGATGGGGGAGGACTATAGAAGGACCAAATCTAGTTGAGGAACGGGTCAGGAATTTGGTATGAGACTTTGAAATATCTATTAGACATTTAAGTGTATACGCTGAATAGCAGCTAGATATACAAGTCTGGAGATATTTGAATGCCATCAATATACTGAGCCTTATGTAGTTAAAGCCATATAATCTGATGAAATCATCAAGGGAAAAGTGTACCTAGAGAAAACATGAAGTCCACAAACTGGGCTCTGGGGCACTTACTGTTTAGACATTGGGGAGATGAGAAGAAACAGCAAAAGAGACTGAAAAGGAGTGGCCAGTGAGACTGGAGATAAACCTGTAGAGTGTGGTATCCTGGAAGCCAAGTAAAGAAAGTGTTTCAAGGAGAAAGGAGGACTCAACATTATCAAATGCTGCTAACAGATCAAGGTGATTGCAAAAAGAAGCTGACTGATTATTCTCATATGGGATGTCAAGGAAGTGAAAACAACCTGACCAAATCTGTAAGTATTCCCTCCTTACCTTGGTCATTCCTGGCAAATCCACAAGTGTCAAATTGACAACGTTGGGTGAAAAAATCTTAAGATGAATTGGTTCAGGGCTTACTCCCTAGAAATAAATTTTAAAATATTATGTTAAAATCACACTAAAATTTCCATGAACTGTGAAGTAATGAAGTAAACGTTATTTCAACTACATAGACATTAATGCTTTTAAAAATGAATTGAATCATGATCCCTAAAACTTTTTTTTTTTTTTTTTTTTTTTTTGAGACGGAGTTTCGCCCTTCTTACCCAGGCTGGAGTGCAATGGCGCGATCTCGGCTCACCGCAACCTCCGCCTCCTGGGTTCAGGCAATTCTCCTGCCTCAGCCTCCTGGGTAGCTGGGATTACAGGCACGCGCCACCATGCCCAGCTAATGTTTTTTGTATTTTTAGTAGAGACGGGGTTTCACCTTGTTGACCAGGATGGTCTCGATCTCTTGACCTCGTGATCCACCCGCCTCAGCCTCCCAAAGTGCTGGGATTACAGGCTTGACCCACCGCGCCCGGCCTTAAAACTTTTTTTTTTAACAATCAAAACCTGATGAAACACATGGGAAGTTAGCCAGCCATATTAACAGGTTATAATCCTACCTCTATCCCCGTATCATTTATTATATACCATGTATTACTTCACATTCTTTTCTCTTGATTATAAACAAATATCTTTGCCTTTTTTTTTTGAGACAGAGTCTCACTCTGTCACCCAAACTGGAGTGAAGTGGTACAATCACGGCTCACTGCAGCCTCAAAATCCTGGGCTCAAGCAATCGTCTTCCCTTAGCCTCTTGAGTAGCTCAAATACAAGGCATGCACCACCATGCCCAGGTAATTTCTTTTTTATTTTTTGTAGAGACAGGGTATTACAATGTTGCCCAGGCTGGCATATACCATTCCTTAAATGTGTTTAACAGATTTAGTGCTGAATAATGTATTCCTTACTATCCAAATTTATGACGTTCCCAAGTTCAGATATCTTTGAATACCAAGTGGTAAGAATGTGTACAGTAAGAGATTCCTCAAGGAGTTTATCTACATCTTTAATCTGTAGTAAGAATTTGGATAGTGACAGATACGTGTATTTTCTCTCCTGTAGACTAAGATTATTGTGTAGGCTCCCTCCTCTTCACCACTGGCCCTCTACAAGTTTTAGAAATGAATCAGCTACATGTAAAAAGACACTTCGGAGATGTTTATACCTCATCTTTGTACATGCCCTTCTTTATCCTTTAATACATCCTTTCATCATCTGTTTATCCACCTTAGGTTTTCCCTTATTAACCCACTGAAATTTCTAATTTCCCAGCAAGTTTTTTTTTTAATATCCTTTACTCCATGTTCCCTATACAATTATATTTGCTGTTTTAGATTACTCTGTGCTACTTTTCCATTTTAAATACTCCAGTTTTCCAAAGCCAATAAATGTCAATATCTGGCATACCTACTTAGGTTGTACATTTCTCAGGATCTTCATTGCCATGGCATTCCTCTATCACATCCATACAAAGCTTTGCCCAATGCCTTTACAACTCCTATCTCATAGACATTTTACATCATTCAGGGCTTTATGTTAGGTATATGCAGTAATTTACATATTCTAACATAAAAATTATATAAGATCCAAGTATCATTTACTTAATTACATACATGATTTAGGAAAGAAGAGATGTTTCATAGATTTGGGGTTGGGGGACTTTTCATCTTTTAGACACTGTGGATGAAAAGCTGCTAGGTAAGTAAATTATATCCTCAACATAAACATCTTGTAGGTATACAGACTCAATCTTTAATGACATTCAGTTTAATGTAACTAAAAACATTTCTGAAATCACCACAGTCTCACACACTCTAAATTCTGGTACTGTATAAAATTACCACCAATTGCTGAGTTCAGTAATTCTCTCTGTAGGGGAGAGAATTCAGACTGGTGTTATGATTAATCATATTCCAAAAGCCAAAATTATCCCTGATATAATAACGACAAGCTAATCTAGCTTCTGGTCACATTTCCAACCCCTTCTACACACATGGTTACTAGAGATTTAGGGAAGTACGGCAGCAGTAGGAGTAACTCAAAGGTTACCAGCCTAGAGTTCAATTATGAACAAAGCTCAGTCGGTCACTGCAACAGCAACAAATATCCTGAACAAAAATAGAGAGTTAACATGGCTCTAAAAATGCCTTTTTGTCAGGAAATAATCTTTCAGCCCAGTAACTGGCAGATACAAGGGTTCAATATTTGTTGAATATTAGTACTAGGCTAGGGCCCACTTGTGGGATTAAATGTGCCTCTGGATAATGAAAGAATGGAGCTAATAACAAAAAGGAAGGGAAATAAAAAATTTAGACAGACGTATATAAAAAATGTAAAGAGAAAAACAATAGGAAGAAAGAAGACAGAAGACAGCAGGATTCAGGCAAGGCAGTGATAGTGCCTAGTGTCAAGATTAACAGTATCTTAGGTACCTAACTTACTTTACATTCTCACAAGCTCAGAAAATAAGAAAATAATCAGTTGCTAAAGTATTACTTTTCATTTTCACTAAAAAATATCCAATTTTTCTCTCTTTGCTTTACAAGCAAATCTAGCCTTACACAGGTAAGAAAAAGAACTCCTCTCTCTCTCTCTCTCTCCATATATATATATATATACACACACACACATATATACACACATATATATACACACATATATATATACACATATATATATACACACATATATATACACATATATATATACACATATATATATACACATATATATATAAAATTATACAATGCTTCCTGAGTTATAATACAATGAATCCATCAGAAAAAGATAACTTGTTGTAGGAATATTAAGTAGAATTATATAATAAAGTGGTATGTACATGACAGGAACAAGAATAAACATCTAAATAAAATATTTGATTTATATGAAAGTAAAGAAAAGGGATTTTAAGCAAAGTTCTATGTATTTGTGAAAATACTCCATTTGTTTCAAAGTCCATTATGAATTTACAATGCCCATCGCTTCTTAGCCTTTTGGCCAAGATCAAGAGTATGAATTTACAATGCCCTTCACACATTATGTACAGAATACCTCGATTATGTATTTACTGATGTTTATGCCTTCTAGCTCTAAAAAGATGCCTACCTTGTTATTTCCTGATATTCTTTCTGTTTCATTTTCAATTTCTTGTCGAATTTCATCAAAATCCGTGTAAAGCTAAAATTTTTTGAAATAAAAAGCAAAAAATTCAAAGTTAGATCAAAAGTTCTTAAGTTGGAGGGGGAGTCCATGTATTTCAAAAGGATGTCTACGTATTTGCTTCAGAGAATATATAAATAAATTCTAATGTATACATATCATTTTCTGAGCTAAGGATTCATAGTTTTTATGTTTTTTGTTGTTGTTGTTTTTTGAGACAGGGTCTGACTCTGTCACCCAGGCTGGAGTACAATTGCACAATCATGGTTCACTGCAGCTTCAACCTCACATGCTCAAGCCATCCTCCTGCCTTGGCCTTCCAAGTAGCTAGGACTACAGGTGCATGCCACCACGCGGGGTTAATTTTTTTTAGTTTTTATAGAGACATGGTCTCCCTATGTTGCCCAAGCTGGTCTCGAACTCCTGGGCTCAAGCCATCCACCCATCTTAGCCTCCGCAAGTATTGGGATTACTGGCATGAGACACCGTGCCTGGCCATTATGAACTTTCCAAAGCTTCCTGACTCCACAACAATTGAGATCACTAAATCAGAGAAAATCAGGCTCAATTTCAAGTGTATTCCAATAAACAACTGTGGTTAGAAACATTACTAAGATTTATTTTATGAGGAATAGTTACAGTTACTTCAATATAACATATTCTGCCAATGATTAGAAACTAAATTATCAAGTACTCATACAAAATATTATTTTCAACATTATGTCTTCATTATACGCATGTGTGATTACCTTATTTTTGGTATGAAGAAATTTACCCCATTCCTCTGCTTCCACCCCTGGAAAAAAGAAGAACTCATTTATTGGAAACTGTAGAAACTACTTTTTATCTTTAGTTAGGAATTCAAAAAGGCAACATAATAAAACACTTGTTAACTTGTATTAATTTTGCCATTAAGTACAAGGTAACAAATATTTTAAGGTCTGCTAAATTATATTTTTCTAAAATTACATTTTCTGCTAAATTATATTTTAAAAATTGTATCATGTATTTCAAAAACATGACTAACTTCAGGTAGAGCTGCTCACAGGTCTTCCCACCAGCTGATTTCTCTTCATATTTTTTGTGTAATTATATTATAGTAAAATAAATATTCATTATTTTTAAAACATCTTACATATAAAAGTGTTTTCTGATGAAAGTAAAGTTAGTGGCTAAGAAGAAAAATTAAGAATCCCACTGAGGAGTGCAAAAAGCAAACACAACAGATTTACATGTATGACTCAAGGAAAAATTTTACCATATGTCAATGAAACAGCTAATTCTTCCATTCTTTTCAAAAATTTGGTTCCCTGTTGGTTACCTGTAGAGTCACAAGTTGCTGTTCCTTTAAAGAACACTCTTATTATTATAGAGCTAGCTGCTGCGTAATTTATATACACTTTCAAGGTGATTTTTCCCCAGGGTCAAGACTGTTTTCCCTTAGAACTGGAGGCAGGAAAGAAAGAAAATAGAAGAAAAGAAAAAACAAGAACTATGGTATATGCTCTATAAGGAGTTGCCACTCTCCATTAGTTTCCAGTCATAGGTCTGTTCCTCTTGTACTTGCTGAAAGAAGGAAAATATATTCACTGTTGCACTGTGAAGTAGTCTAAAACTTGGAGAGCAAGATATATTCTGTTTTTTCTAGAGAAACCAGAACTGTTTAATTGTGGGAAGATAATCTAACTATCTCCTCCAAACACAGCTATTTTACTTTTGTCAAATTCAGAGGTTAAATTATCTTAATTAATAAGTTTATTGGATAATGCATATCAGCCACGTGATGTCTAAATAAAAATGATTATAAGATATTCAGATAAATATAAGAGTGTGTCAGTCCTTTGGCAGAATAAAGGTAAATAAAACGGGATCCTTTTTGCAGATAAAATGCTCACCTACTTGTAGCTTAGTACCTTCTTCCAAGAAGTCTCATTGGAGGACTGGAGTAATCTAGGTGAACAGAACTCACAAAATGCAAGTACTACATACCAAAGAGGTGTTTCTAATTTACCTTATTATATTTAAAAGGCCTGGTTTCACAAGCATATCTTCAAAAATAAAAATAAAATAAATTACATTCACCACCAAAAAAGCTTGCATTTTGATACAATGCCAAAAAAATAACAAGAACCACTGAAACCTGCAATCAATGTGGATAGGCAAATAAAAATGGAAGGAAAAAAAATGCACACAGCCTGTAATAGTACATAAGCACACATGCAGGCATAAGAGAAAAAGGGTCAAAAGCAAATGGATAGAGGAAACCTTTAGAAAGGTGTCTTGAGTTTTTCCATGTAGCAGGGTCTGTAGTTAAAGAGAAACAGCACAGAGTAAGTTAAGTGCTTATCCCTAAAATTTTAAACCTTATTAAAAATTCAAATGTGCAGAAACCTGATCACATTTCAAAATGCACATCGCATTCAATCATTCAAAATTCACAACTAGAATTAGAGGGATGTATATTTTTTCAGTCATAGAAACAAAGCATATTGCATGCCTTATTTTTAACATTTTTAGGAAACAAATTTTCCATTACAATTAGTTCTGTCTGGCGTGTCTGTAGATAGTTATCTCAATTGATTGTTCAGTCAGTTACAGATGGAACTCCTTGTTCTATTTCCCCATTTCTCACTACTGCACTTGACTAGTCTAAAAAATAAAAATTAATTTTTTAAATTAATAATAATTGTTTCTAATTCTGACACAAATGAAGCAGAATTAATCCACTATTCAAAAATTTGGGCAAAGCATAATGACTTACACCTGTAATCCTAGCACTTTGGGAGGCCAAGGCAGACGGATCATCTGAGGTCAGGAGTTCAATACTAGCCTGGCCAACAGGGTGAAACCCTGACTCTACTAAAAATACAAAAATTAGCTGGGCCTGGTGGCAAATGCCTACTATGGTGAATCCCAGCTACTCGCGAGGCTGAGGCAGAAGAATCACTTGAATCCAGGAAGTTGCAGTGAGCTGAGATCACTGTGCCACTGCACTCCAGCCTGGGCGACAGAGCACGACTCTGCCTTAAAAAAGAAAACTGCCTGAGATATCTGATAAGCTACTATGGGAAAAGATACATTGCCTGATTTTTTTAAATCTACAAAATATACTAAATACATCTTTCAAGACCTTAAAAGTTGGTAAGTATATCCAAGTATTTACCCCATTAGCTAAAACTGAGCTTTATAAGGGTATTTTATTTGAAATACATATTGGATTTAATAGAACACTGCAGAAAGTTAACTCTTCACCTTCGTGAACTCAATCTAAAGGGAAACTACTATGTGTATCACAGCACCATAAGCAGAAAACTTAATCCTATCTTTCTTCTTTAATTCTGATGTATAATTTTACTGCCTTTTGGCAAGCAACGGATTGCTTTTACAAACAGGTTACTTAATGAAATGGGGGTAAAAATTCAAATTACACCCAGATTTTATAGCATTCTTCTATGAAGCATGTATGTTTGCACTTTTTTTTTTTTTTTTTGAGACAATTTTGCTATGTTACCCAGGCTGGAGTGCAACGGCACAATCTCGGCTCACTGCAACCTCCACCTCCTGGGTTCAAACCAATCTGCCTCAGCCTCCCGATTAGCTGGGATTCCAGGCGCCTGCCACCATGCCTAGCTAATTTTTGTATTTTTAGTAGAGACAATGTTTCACCATGTTGGCCAGGCTGATCTTGAACTCCTAACCTAAGGTGATCCACCTGTCTCGGCCTCCCAAAGTGCTGGGATTTACAGGCATGAGCTGCTGCGCCCAGCCTATGTTAGCATTTTTTTAAAAAAGAGAACAAAAATCTTTTGCTTTAGTTCAACAACTTTCTCTCCCTAAATAAATTCTCATAATTTTTCAAATTTCCACTGACACTGTTCAAAGTATCATATATGGCACAATTTTGGCCTTTAGTCAGCATGCTACTTTTGGATTTTTTCTCAAAGGAAAACAGAAAAGCTTGATTTATTTCTTACAAATATATGAAAGATAACTGTGGAGTTCAGTTCAAACTGAACCACCACTCCACTCTAAAACATAGCTTAGTATTATTTTTAATAAGTTAACAGAAAATTATTTTACATTGGCAGAATAGGGGACAAGCTGAGATGACCATAAATCTACATATTGACACCTCAATTATCCCACAGTTGGCAGAACGAAGAATCCTGTGCTAAATGAAATTTCCTGATAATTGAATTACACATATTAAACATGATTTTATTTTAGCCAGTTTTGATGGAGCTACATGTAAAATGGATTAGACTTCTCCATGTCATCTCAGAATGCACGACTTTGAACGTATTATTGGTAACCAGGTTTTTGTTACGTAACAAAGCCTTCATTGGCTAAAATCCCTACACAAAATGTTAGTAACTGATTTCCTTTTTTTTTTTTTTTTTGAACATTTATGTTTTTCTCCCTTTCTCCTCTCTTATTATCAGGCTGTCAGGTAGTTTACACTCTTCAGCTAACGATACTGTTTATCTGCTTCATGGTTTCTAATTTTCTTTGGGTTAGAATGATTTATTATATGGCCAGGCGCGGTGGCTCACGCCTGTAATCCCAGCACTTTGGGAGGCCGAGGCGGGTGGATCACGAGGTCAAGAGATCGAGACCATCCTGGTCAACATGGTGAAACCCCGTCTCTACTAAAAATACAAAAAAAATCAGCTGGGCACAGTGGCGCGTGCCTGTAATCCCAGCTACTCAGGAGGCTGAGGCAGGAGACTTGCTTGAACCCAGAAGGCGGAGGTTGCGGTGAGCCGAGATCGCGCCATTGCACTCCAGCCTGGGTAACGAGAGCGAAACTCCGTCTCAAAAAAAAAAAAAAAAAAAAAAAAGAATGATTTATTATATACTAGAATTGTTCATACCAAGGATAAAGAAGCTTTGATGAAAACCTAAGGAACTGTCTATCCTAGAATAAAACAAGTGAAATCTAGTACTCAAATTTATATAATCTATATTGTGTTTGGGGTAGCTGAGTTGTCATTTTATGCAAGTATACATACAAAATAAGCACTAAGCTTGGAAAAAAACAATAGGTAGGCAGATTTACTGACCAACCACCAAGAGGAGACATCAACAAAACACAGTGGACATAAAAACAAAAGGATACCAAGGAGCTGACCCTTCTGTAGCCGAAATCCACACTCTTTCCTAACAAGCAAAATTTTATCTAAGGAAATACTGCCCACTTTTCAAATAGTTTCTGAGAGACAGAATATCATGCGCCCTCTCAAGGTGAGAGAAGAAAATTAGAAGTTAAAAAAAAAAAAAAAGAGAGAGAGACCTAGTATCATATAATTTATTAAAGTCTTAGTTTCAGGTGTTTGGTAAATTTGATGAAATCAGTAGGGATGAAATTTTATGCTAGACATTTGAAGGTGAACCACAGATTAATCCAAAATGATAAATTCAAGGTTCAGAACTTCAATAATAAGTATTAGTGAAATGCAAAGTGATGAATAACATACCCAAGCTACCCAGTGTAATTAAAAGGCTCCCACATATCCACTGGTAGTCTATCTAAAAATATTCCTTGCAACATCTACAACTACACTAACTTGCTTCAGTGACCAACATTCTAGAGTCATAGCAGATGCTCATGAGGTTATTTCCCCCATTAAAAAATAATCACCACCACCAACAGCTCCTATAGTAAATGAAAAAATCAGACACAGAAATTAAAATAAGTTCACTTTTGTCAATACTATCATCCCATCTTAAATCAGAATAAGAAGTAGAATAAAACTGCATTGAAAACAGATCCCTGCAGATAAGTAACAGATATTGGTACTCTGCTGCAAAAGTAATTTAATAATTACAGCTATGAGAGTTCTATAAATAAGAAAGTCTGACCAAATACTGAACTAAATAGGAAGATTAAATACATTACTCTCATCCAACATTTCAAACCTCACCAATATAATATAGGGTACACATTTGATAAGCAACTTGAAATCTGCTGATAGACACAGACAGCATTCCCTAAGGTATTTTCAATTTAATCAAAAAGAACGGTTATAAAGGACAATGCATATTTTCTTCTTTTAATACACAAAAGAATCAGAATTAGGAGTACATGATAACAGCAGAAAAGGGAAGGTGAGATAACATTGCTCAGCTAAAAAACAGTCATTTTAATTTAAAAAAAAAAAAAAAAAACTTTAAAACACTCCAAAAAACACTTAAAATTTTTTCTTTTTTTTTTTTCTTTTCTTGAGACAAGATCTCACTCTGTTACCCAGGCTGGAATGCAGTGGCACAACCACAGCTCATTGTAATCTCAACCTCCCAGGGTAAACCCATCCTCCCACCTCAGCCTTCCAAGTAGCTGGACTGCACACCACCAAGTCCAGCTGATTTTTATGTATTTTTGTAGAGACAGGGTTTTGCTATGCTGCCCAGGCAACATTTTTTCTTTAAAATAATTAATTTCTGTTTACTGTCTCACTGGATCCTCCATTATATAATATTAACATCAGTTTACTAGGCTGAGTTACTCAAAAGGAACTATTCCCAACAACTTTACTCATGGTCTTTCAAAACATGGACAGATGTGGTAGCTCACACCTGTAATCCCAGCACTTTGGGAGGCCAAGGCGGGCGGATCATTCAAAATCCTGAGTTTGAGACTAGCCTCCCAACAAGGTGAAAACCCGTCTGTCCCTACTAAAAATACAAAAATTAGCTGGGTGTGGTGGCGGGTGCCTATAATCCCAGCTACTTGGCAGGCTGAAGCAGGAGAATCGCTTGAGCACAGGAGGTAGAGGTTGCAGTGAGCCAAGATCCCACCACTGCACTCCAGCCTGGATGAGAGTGAGGCTCCATCTCAAAAACAAAGCAAAACAAAAACTACTCTTTTTTTTACATTAAGAAAGATGCATACTATTTCTCCTCACAGGACTTCTGATTATGCTACAGCCACTAATTTCTAATTCTCTAATCAATTCGTATCTTTTTAAGAATAGATTGAAAAATGAAGAGCTATAAAATAATTCTTATCTCAAATCTGAAATTTACCATTTTCTTCTCCTGTTGTTTTTCGTTTATCTTCTTGTGAAACATGGACCAGTTGCAGAATGAGAGGTCTCCGGGTGACAATTCCAGTACCTCTGGGAAGCAGGTCCCTCCCCACCAGGCTTTCTAGTACTGAGCTCTTTCCACTGCTCTGAAAACAGAATATATGTAAGAGCCAAATGAGTTTCTTAACAGATTTTTTGTTAATTCAATAAACTATATTAACAAAGCAA